AAAATTACATTATAAAAGCCTGTTGTTCAATAAATAATGATCTTTGTAACAACATGTATTTGAATCTGCCATTAACTCACATTGAAGCCCAGTCTTAGCTGGGTTTTAGGGGATGTGCTTCAGTAGATGCCTGTGGGCTGAGCTTTATTATGGCTCTATGGGACATGCTTCTGTAGGGTTCTTTAGAATGTGCTTTATCGGGTTGAATGAGATGTGCTTCAGTAGGGCTCTATGTGCTTATGGGATGTGGTTCAGTAGGGTTCTATATGCTTCTGAGATGTGCTTCAGTAGGGTTCTATGGGATGTCCTTCTGTAGGGTTCTATGGGATGTGCTTCAATAGAGGCCTATGGGATGAACTTCAGTAGCGTTCTAACAGATGAACTTCAGTGGGGTTCTGACAAGTGAACTTCAGTGGGGTTCTATGGGATGTGCTTCAGCAGAGTTCTGTGGGCTGTACTTTGGTAGGGTTCTGTGGGATGTGCTTCGGGTGGGGTTGTATTGGATGTGCATCAGTTGGGTTCTTTAGGATGTGCTTCAGTAGAGACTTGTGGGATGAACTTCAATAGGGCTGTATGGGATGAGTTTTAGTAGGGGTGTATAGGATGTGCTTCTGTTGGGTTGTATGGGATGTGCTTTAGTGGGGTTCTATGGGGTGTGTTCAGTAGGGTTCAATAGGATGTGCCTCAGTAGGGTTCTTTAGAATGTGCTTCATTAGAGTTCTATGAGGTGTGCTTCAGTAAGGTTGCGTGAGATGTGCCTCAGTAGGGTCCTATGGAATGTGCTTCAGTGGTTTTCTATAGGATGTGCTTCAGCAGGGTTCTACGGGATGCACTTCAGTAGAGCCCTATGGGATGAACTTCAGTAGGGTTCTATGGTATGTGCTTCAGTAGGGTTCTATGGTATGTGCTTTAGTAGAGGCCAGTGAGATGAACTTCAGTAGGGTTCTATGGTATATGCTTCAGTAGGGTTCTATGGGATGTGCTACAGTAGAGTTCTATTGGATGTGCTTCAGTAGGGTTCTATGGGATGTGCCACAGTAGAGTTCTATCGGATGTGCTACAGTAGGGTTCTATTGGATGTGCTTCAGTAGAGTTCTATGTGAAATGCTTCAGTAAGGTTGAATGACGTGCCTCAGTACATGCTTTAGTAAAGTTCTAAGGGATGTGCTTCAGTAGGTGCCTAGGGAATGAACTTCAGTAGAGTTCTATGGGACGAACTTCTGTAGGGTTCTATGTAATAAGCATTCACTGGCTCCCACAAACACACTCATGCAGACTATACTTTCTGTAAGATGCATTAAACAAACAGAGTAGACATTTTACACTTTTTATTCGCTAGAAATACTGAATCTCAGGATGAGTTAGACGCAATACACATGCATTGTTAAAAATTTCAGTGCAGTGTTATGATGAACTTTTAGCGGAAGCCACGTTTCCCTGTAGTCTTAAAGAAACCTGCCACTTTACACACAAGAAAAGAATAAAATTTAGAATGCATTTGTTGTTTCGAAAGAAATGAAAACTATCATCACCATCCATTCAATAAGAATAGTATCATTTAAGCATAAAAGACCAAAATGACTGAATGTTTTTCTGACACTCATCTTCATTTACACACATTCTGTTTGCATCACAGACAGTATTCTTTCCAAACAACATTCGTTTTTCTCAACTGCTTACACACACGCTGTTATATAACGTCTCTTGTCTAAAAAGGCTTGGCACAACATTGCGCTCGCATTGCAAACCCTCTCAGCAAAGTAAAACGCTCTTTTTCTGAACTGCTCAAACAAAATTACCCAAAGTTTACCTAACTTCTCAAATGTTTGCGCGAATGGGTAGACTTTGAAAAACACTCTGCAAATCTCAGTGCTCAGAGCCAGAATGAATTTGTTAACAAAGCCCAATGCAAATGTTCCTGTGCAGTTAACATAGACTTGGATTGAGTGTTACACGTCCTTTTAATTGTGCCTAATGGATACCACTGAAAACTGTTCAAGCTACTGAATAGAAGATGCATCAAAAAGTGTATTTAAATGTAAAAATGCCTGTGTATTTCTGTGGTATATGGTTTTTTTTTTTGCTTGAAACATATTGTTTGTTGTGACACTATTCATAGTGATATTTAGTATTATTTGCAACTTTAAACTATGACAAAGTTAGCCTGGATTTGTATAGTAGTGTTCTGTTGTGTTTGGGCTTTGAGGCAGCTGTGCTGAACCCATGAACCAGCCCCATAACTGCAGTTAAATTCCTGCAAAATGTATCTTTTTGTAAAGTTTATGCACAAATTACATTTACTGAGAGAGTACAGTACACGTGATTTCATGCAAGAACTGATATGCAGTCTTTAGATCGAGAGGAACAGCTACCGATTCAATTGCTTTATACTTTAACTGATTAAAAAAACTACATGTTGCTATAAATGAGATTCAAACTGAATAAATTGGAATACCTTGAAGTGTATGTATGGCTGGATGACAGTTCGATGGTGTGTACTGGTGTGACGAACACTATATGGCCAAAAGTATGTGGACGCGTCTCCTGATTGTTACGTGTAGGTGTTTCAGCAACAGCCATGGCTAACAGGTGTATAAAATCAAGCACATAGCCTTGCAATCTGCATAGATAAACACTGGCAGTATAATGGGTCATGCTGAAGAGCTCAGTGACTTTGAAATGTGGAACTGCCATAGGACGCCACCTTTGCCACACATCAGTTCATGAAATCTATGCCCCGCTAGATCTGCCCCAGTCAACTGTAAGGGCTATTTTTATGAACAGGAGGCATTTAACAGTAACAACAGCTCAGCCACGAAGTGGTAAACCATGCAAACTCACAGAGCGGGGCTGCCCAGTTCCAAACTGCTTATTTAATTCTTAATTGTTCTGGACTATGCTATGAAATATGCTGTATTTTGGTTATGATATTTTATAGTGATGATGTGCTGACTGAATTGAAATGTACAGAACATCTTTTTTCAATAATTATGTTAAAGCAATAGAGCAATAACTGTGGACTAACAAACTCATATATATTGTACCACAATATTAAACACCATATTGTAACCCTGGACATTTTTGAAATACTATCACTGCATTTTAGTTATACAAATTTCAGTTTCACCAGAGATTATTTAAACACGCAGACTAGCTCTGGTTTCACAAGGCTAGACTAGCTCTGGTTTCACCCCTGCACAGCTTTCATACTTGATGTGTACCGAAGGAAACCAAATACATAATGCAGAAACATAAGAATATCATTGTTACCTTCTGTGATAATACTATATGGTAACCAGACAGGCAGTAATTTGTATTTTACTCTCTATATTTTACATTCTGTGGCCGAGAGGCACATTTACGGAGCATGTTGAATGTATGCCATGTGGAACCATTTTAAAGTGGGAAAAAAATTGCCCCAAAATCCTTTTTCGACCATGTTTGAATTAGCCATGTTTGGTCTAAATAAGGGCACGTAAAATTTGAGCATGCAGCTATTACGCTTTAAGTCAACTTCCTGTTATTTACCCCAATCAACATGCCACCAAATACCTAAATACCACCCTGCAATATTTTTCACTCGCATGTCACGGCTGCTTGAAGATGAAGGTATCCTCCTACATAAAAATGAATATTCGGCTTTATTGGTGGCAGTGCTGGGCCCTGCTTTTGGATTAAAACTTGCGTTTAGCAGCCCGTTCAAACTAGCTAGCTCCTTTCACGTGTCTTAGAGAAACATGAATTCATAGCATATTCATGATACTGTAAAATTCACATAAGTAGTTCCAAACAAAAGCTGTCAGTTTAGAGTGCATACCGCCATTCACATATCAAAAAAATGAATATAGTGTACACACTGCACATGATGTCCGTTATTAGTGATTTTAAGTGAGCGCAGCATTTTAAAAGAACCAAATCATCAGGTTGGTCAGTCAACTTGGATCTAAAACCAGTATTAGACACTATTAGACATTAAATGGTCAAAAAACAAAACAAATCAGTGTACAGTAGTCTTTCCTCTGTGGTATTTTTCAGCAGCCGGGCAGGCCCACACTCCAGGTTGGGTGTCGCCACATGTCTCCACTTCCTGTATCCATCATTTCAAATTAAAAGCCCTCTGCTGAGTTTTAATTGCAATTTCATGACATTTCATAGAAGTGGGAAGCAGTAATGGCAGTAATTTTGCAGCAGTGGTGCAATACTGCACATTATGCACATTATAAGAATGAAGTCGATTTAGTAGCATTAATTAGCAGATTAGCATATCTTACAGAAATAGTGTGGCTGTATTTTCTATCACATCAGCATTGGCCCATACTCAGAGTTATGGTCCTCTGATCAGATTGGAGGGCAAAAAAAAAGATCAGGACGTCCCTGATTCTGACCGTATTGTGCAGGTCTTCTGTGCATGTGAAAAACCATTTAGGAGCATGCGACTTGAGGCACTAACGAGCAAATGTGAGGAAAACAAGACGAAAGGGGAGATTACTTTTGCGGCCGCTGTAGTCTGAGGAGCTGGAGTGCCACGAGCTCCCCGAGCAGCGCCGCTTCTGCACCCGCCTGTAGAATAATGGCTTCTGTACAAAGCTTTAAATTAGACCCACAGGTGGCCATTCTAATATTATCTGGAGTTCAACTGGAAAGCTTTGGGGCTCGGGCAGGAAATGATATATCACCTCTGCTTCTGTCAGACGCAGAGAGAGATGGTAGATGACCCAATCTGTGTGTGTGTGAGGGTGTGGGTGTGGGTATGTGTGTGTGTGTGTGGGTGTATGTGTATGTGGGGGGTGATTTATTTGGACTCCTGCTGATATGTGGTGCAGACATCACTGTTCCGTTTATCAAGACGAGACCAGAGCAATCATGCCAACTATTAGAGGAGCCACAGGACACCGTGTGCGTTTGTGTGTTTGGATGTGTGTGTGGAAGATGTATGTTTTGTGTGTGTGTGTGTGCATGTCAGTGTAAATAACTAACATTGTATGTGATGTGTTTTGCAGAGCTCCATGTACTCTCTGGCGCTGAAGTGTCTTATCAGCCTCTCCACCATCATCCTCCTCGGCCTCATCATTGCTTACCATGCTCGAGAGGTGCAGGTAAAAGTACACACACACAAGCATACAGTACACACACTGTATATATGTATATATCGATTGGCCATTTCATTAAGTGTCCATTCACTGTCCACTCTATTAGACACTCCTACCTTGTCAGTCCACCTTGCAGATGTGAAGTCAGAGACGATAGCTCACCTGCTGCTGCACAGTTTGTGTTGGTCATCCTCTAGTCCTTCATCAGTGGTCACAGGACGCTGTTGGCTGGATATTTTTGGTTGGTGGACTATTCTCAGTCCAGCAGTGACACTGAGGTGTTTAAAAACTCCAGCAGCACTGCTGTGTCTGATCCACTCAGACCAGCGCAACACATACTAACACACCACTACCACGTCAGTGTTACTGCAGTGCTGAGAATGATGGTAAAAGGGGGCTAACAAAGTATGCAGAGAAACAGATGGACTACAGTCTGTAACTGTAGAACTACAAAGTGCACCTATAAAGTAAGTGCAGCTGATAAAATGGACAGTGAGTGTAAAAACAAGGAGGTGGTCATAATGTTATGCCTGATCAGCTCCACTTACTATATAGGTACACTTTGTAGTTCTACAATTAGAGATATATACAGATGTAGCCCATCTGTTGACACACGGTGTTGTTTGCTATCCTCTAGCCCCTCATAAATGGTCAGTTTCTGACCACAGAGCCACTCTTGGCTGGATATTTTTGGATGGTGGACCACTTTGAGCCTAGCAGTGTCACTGATGCGTGCAGATACCCCAGCAATACACCAGCACGCTATCATATCAGCGTCACTACCATGCTGAGAATGGACCATCCCCCAAATAATATCTAAACAGCAGTCCTGTGGTCAGAAACTGACCAGTGATAGATGGGGTAGAGAGTTGGGCTAATAAATTGTGCAGCAACAGATGGCCCACAGTCTCTAACTGTAAACTCATAAATATATATAGCCACATCATGTCTTGTGATACGGTTTAATGAGAATATTTTCCATGGTTGTCTTTCGCTGCTTTGCTCTGAAAAGCAGCAAAGAGCTGCTGCTAAGAAAACAAACAGCAGACGGAAAGAGTGAACAAACAGATTAGAGGAGCAGCTGATGTTTGGTACCCCATGCTGCACTCATCATTGCCGTTTCCAGTCCACATCCCCACAGTGCAGGAACCACCCGGGAAAAAACAATCCACTGTTTTCTAAAAAATCTCACATTTTTATTTTTGCGAGGGATTCTTCTTTCCCTGAGTCACGCTGCCTTTTCTTTCCGTAGTAGTGAAAGGGTTGTTGAGTCACGCTGCTTTTTGGGCTTTTGCCCTCAGCAAAGTTCCAGTCACTTTAGCTGAACGTTAGCGTTATGCTAATCGGCGCGCTGGCTCTGAAAAGGCCGTGTGGAGAGGAGAGACATGGAGACAGTCGCCAAGCACACACACACTCCACGCTCACTCTGCCTCACAAAACACATGCATACACGGAGTCTACACTCACGAATGCCTGTTGTGCAGATGTTTTCATTGATAAAGGACACTCATGCCCCTTCCTCTAGATGAAATGTCACATATTCACAGATGACTCACTGTCTTTCACACACAGACACTCAAGACACAAACATGAGAGTGACGTACAGCCATGGGAGAGAGAGTGAGAGCGAGAGAGAGAGAGAGAGAGAGAGATGAAACACTGTATGCTAATCTGTATGCTAATCTCTCTGCAATAATCCTTCTAATGAAGTGAAGTTCTTGACAGAGAGACATTTACCCTCAGTCATTTCCTGTAATATCCTTTCATGATGCATCTGTTTTCGGTAGGGTTCGGATGTAACAGAATACAAGTATTGGAAATACGTATTAAGAATACAGAAGTTAAGTATCTCTATTCAGTCTAAGTTACATTTTGTAAAGGCAGTGTGCAATATTTAAATTTGTGGAGAACACTTTTAAAAGAAACACAATAATGCTGGTTTGTTATTTTAATTAATAAAATCATGACGTGTAAAAAAAAGTTTCTTTATAGACCAAAAGATATGGAAGTTTCTTTAGCAACATTCCTGCTAAAGCCTGAGTAGACTGATGAATCAATGAGTGCGTATGCATGCACTCAATAATCCGATCATAATCTGATTTCTGCAGTTATCCGATTATTCAAATACTCATGTCAACACTGTATTCCAAACTAGAAATCCGATTAAGAAATCTGATAAAGAGATGAATTTTATCTCAGTAATCAGATTTCAGTGCATGTATACTCGTACTCCGATTTCTCAGTCTGCGCATGCACGAAAGCAGATGGTGGATGTCGCGAGATGGCAGCAAAACACTTTTGGAGAGGCACTGAAACCAAACACAAAATAAAGGATTTGAATATTCCTCATTTTCTAGACGATGTAAATTAATATTTTTAGGTAAAGTGGCATGATGTTTAAAAAAGCCACAGCATGAAGTTTGAGTTTTGGCTGAGTGTTGGCTGGTTGCAAAGCAGAAATCTGATTACTGCCTGACTCATGTGCACCTGGAGTTTCCCATTATCTGATTACTCAAGAGCATGTAAACGTGTTGATCGGATTACTGACAAAATCAGATTTTCTGCAGTTATCGGATTATTAAGTGCATGTAAACGCACTTAATGTGATGAGTCAGCTATTTATCTCAGTGTTACTGAAAACCTTTAAGGGACGATGAAACTGATCTTTCTCGTCAGTAGTGAACACGGTTACTTACTTACAAGTGATGAGTTTAGCACTGGTGTTGTACTGGATTCATGCATGCAATTCATTACATACATGTTAGTAACTCAAAAAAACAGCTATTTATTGTCAAATTTATAGTCAAATGTACAAGATTTTGTAATTAGAATACTGTAAATTGTTTGCTTCATTTATGAGACAGCAGTTGGATTATGGGAGTAGCAGTGCAATGAGAGCCAAAATAATGTTGCGATTGTTATAACTTTAAAGAAGTGAATTTTCATAAAACATTACAGAAGAACTATGTGAAGAAAACTGCCAACAGTAACAGTGAGAAACAGTGTGAATTAAATATAAATTACAGTGCAGTTTTTGCCGTGTGCCTTATCAATATGTATTCTAAAAGTATTATGAATACATTACTTTTTCATATATTGTAATGGAATATATTTCAGAATACATGCAGGACAGTGTATTCAGTATTCATTACTTTTTCTAAATTCCCTGCCCAGTCCTGGTTTTTGGAATGAGGAAATGTTCAAAATATCAAACAAATTATATCAAGTGAAAGTCAGCATGCTACGGTGGCTAACATTTGGACTTAGCATTAGTCATGTTAAGTCAAGTTCCGAGCTGGCGGTTTAAGAGATTAGCCTATCAGGGTAGGCTAAAGAAGGTTGAACCAGTCCGGCAAAACCCGCGGGTCTCTGTCCGCTTCCAACTGAACCCTGTTCACTTTATCACTGCTGGTGTGAATGCATTTTATGATCAAATGAGGGAATTCGTCAACAGAGCTGGTTTTGCTCTTTTTCTACCAGCACGTCGGCGCTGTTTACTGTCAGTATAATCTGCCTGTTTTAACATCTGACTCTTTACAGACTCTCATTGCTCTCACATCGTTCCTGCAGCTCGAGCTGCACTTAAAAATGATGGACGTGCCTTAAAACAGTGAAGGTCTGCATTTGATTTCTGGCCAGGCCTCTGTGACCTGTGTAGTGAAACTGATAAACTAATGACAGACGCAGATATCAAGGTTATTATTATTGTTGATTGTGGCGACGCTAAACTGAGCGGAGTGTGGTTTGTTTCAAATGAGGCTCTAAAACCCTCAAAACTAAAGAGACTCCAGACCAAACAGTGACTCCTATGGGAGTCACAAGAGTGTTTTAGTGAAAACACGATGGACTGCAGCTCCGCTAAATATGCTTTTTTAACATGTTATGTGTTTAAAATAACTGCAAATTTCACTTTCTGTGATTGAACTGAAATGGTCAATCTGATCTTTTTCAGGCCCTAATTCAGAGGTTTTCAGTGTGAACAATTGAGAAATTGATTTTAATGTTTCTGTGGGCTGCTATGCTTTATAATTATAAACAGGAAGGCCTTGGGGTGGAAAAGGTTGAGAACCTCTGTTCTAAATCATACTATCAAGATTAACATGATGAAAGACGCCTTCTGCATCACTCTCAACAATGCTGTTTTACTCGGTGTGATGATCAAAGGCAGAGAGGAAGGAAGTACGCTTTAAAAAAATGTCTGTGTCCGTGTGGATGAGCATTGTTGGACATTAGCACGTTAGCGAACAACAAGTATCATTTTAGCAGTGCAGCTTAGACGAAAACGCAGCTCATCCCTTCAGCCAGTGATGTTTATTCTGCTAAACCAAAACAGCTCTCTGAAAAGCAGACAACCACACAGTGTTTTCAACCGCTGACTTCAGTTTTACTGCAGTTTATTCACCATGTTGAGCTTTTGGCATTTTATACTACAAATGTGTTTCTCCAGATCTGCACACATGACGGTTTTACACCTTGTACAGGAAATCGTCTTTTTAGATGAAAAAGTGGTGGTCCCATGTTTTTAACTGTTTTTTTACGTAACTCTGGACTGTAGTCTTGTCATCTATGTTTCACTCTTCTTTCAAGTCATGTAAATGTGGAGTGAAAACATCATCCAGACCAGGCATTCTCAACCTTGTCTACCCCAAGGCCCACCAGTTAATAAATACAAAGAATGGCGACCCACAGACAAACTTAAATCAACTTTTTAAATACAATTTCCTTTTTCTTTTCTTGAGTGCTGAAACTGAAAACCTGAGATCATCCATTTTGGTTCAATCACAGGTCCCAAAATTTGCAGTTATGTTAAAAATATATTTGCAGTGATGTTACAAATGGAAATAAACGTACAAAGTGGATGTGGACTTTGATTTGGAGCTGCAGTACACTGCCTTTGGTCTCGAGATTTCCCCTTAGTTTTGAGGGTATTTGTGATTAATTTGAAATAGCCAAACCTCACTTCACTCACTGAGCATTTGGAGTAGCGTCATCACAATCAACATTGA